ACCGCCACGAAGTACTGCTTTGACATGACCTGATCACCCCAAATCTCCTCGATTGCCCCCATAGCCGAGGGGAATCTCATTACTTGATGGAAAGTCAATGCCACGGCTTGCATAGCGTGAAGCCACCCCCTTCCAAGGATCAAATTGTAAGTAGATGGTACCTATAATACCCAGAACTCCACCTGTTTGACCACGGACCCAGCTTTGACTGGCAGGATAATCTTTCCCAAAGGCCACTCCGGTTGTGAGTTGAAACCAACCAACGGCGATGTCGCCGGGGCCAAATCCGTATCTCGAAGCTTGAGCTGTTGGAAAGCGTCGTAGTACATGATCTCAACCGAGCTTTCCTGATCAATTAAGATCCGTTTCACTTCAAAATCTTTGACGCGGAGTGTTACTACTAAGGCGTCATTGTGCGGTGTCTGAATGCGCTCCAAGTCCCTGGAGGAGAAACTGATCACCTCTTTCACTTCCGTCTTCCCCCTCTTGAGCGTAGGCTGAACTGGCAAAACTTCCCTCATGTGCTCTGCCTTCTTGATCATACCACGGAGCTTGCAAACACGCGCCGGTTCCACTATGCCGTGGATGACATTCACAATCCCTTGAGGAGGTGCATCTCGGTCATCCGGTTCCCGCGGATCAACCGGAACTTGATTTGCCGTAACGCCCCCATCAATGTAAAGATCCAGGTGCCCGGCCGCGACTAGCTCTTCCAGGTGTTGCCTTAATGGCAAACAATCCTCTGTCTGGTGGCCTCACTCCCGATGAAACGTGCAACGATACCGCGGATTGTAGCCTTTTTGTCCATCGCCCAACTTAATAGGAAACCGGACATACTCCTCGTCTCGGATTTCACTAAGGATGCGATAGATCGGAATCTTGAAGACCGTGGTTATGCCAGTCCTTGCCTTCAACCGTCTGTTTGTATCCGATACGTCATCTCGGGGGTAGTCATCCCGGTCATTTCGACGTCCTTTACCCCGGTTTTTGCGATTCGAGCCATGGTCCGATTCCTCTGCGCGGTCACTTGAGCGGCTGGACTCTTGCCCAACTGCGTGCACTTTGCCTGCTGTCTTCTTGTCTGTTGCTACCGGAGTTGCCTTCACAGTAGATGCTGACGCATCATCCTCGACTCGGATGTGCTCATTGATGCACTGCATGAGCTGGCCCATGGAGGTCGGTTGGTGCATGGTAAGCGAGTCCCGCAGTCTATATCCGACCGGGAGACAACGCTTATATTGAGTGATTGCAAGGTTGACCGGGCAATCTAAGATCTCGTTGAAGGTCTCCCAATACCTAGAGTTGTATGCCTTCAATGTGTTGCTCGGTTCCATCTTGACACTCAGTAAATGATCGACTTCCTTTGGTGTTTTTGTGTTAGGTTTTGAAGCGCGTCATAAAGGCTTCGGCCAACTGATGCCACCGTTGTATGCTCCCTTTCGGAAACCTCTCGAACCACTTCAAGCCCAGCTCGCCTAAACTTGACGGGAAGATCAGGCACATAAGTCCGTCATTTCGCCTATGTCCGGCCATAACCTGTCGGATGTGGCTCACATGCATGTAAGGATCAGTTTTCCCGTCGTAAAGCGTGAACTTTGGCTGGTGGAAGCCTGCCGGAAGCGGTGTTATTTCTATTTCCTGGGCAAAAGGGGTGGCACTTAGCCTGGCCAAATCTGAATCCACTAGGAGCGGCGCTGCTTGGCGGGGTGGAGGCATTCCGACCTCCTCGCTGGCGTGAACCCCGTAGGATAGCTGCCGGAACGCCGGTATCCTCTGAGCTTCACGTCGGCAAGCCCGCTCCGTTAAGACCGCCCGCAAATCCTCTGAATGAGCGGAGTGAGAATACTTCGACGTCGTCGCCGGACGTGAGGGCCGGTAAGTGCTATCTTGCGCACTAGACTTCTCTGTATGCACGTCGGAATCACCAACTTGATAACTTCTGGTAACAGAAATGGATAGAGTGCGTCGCTAACTCTGACCGCCTGAACGGCGAGATGGGGTGCGCTCACTGTGGTCACCCACTCCAGCTACACCCTTCCCTTTGATATGCCGCTTGAGCTCCTCCATCTCCGCCGCCATTCGCCGGATGACAGTGTCTTGGTCCCTCAACTTGTGTTCCAGACGTCGGGCATGTGATTCTCTCCACCGCCGATGACCGTCCGAACTTCGTGAATGACCATAACTTCTCCCACGCTTATCCCGCGCGTCTCCCGACTGTCCTCCGGTGGGTGTCTCTAAGTCCGCCATTGGATGGATGGCGGGAGGTCCTTCTCTCCGTCGGGTAAACTCCGGGGTTGCTCCGTCTATGGCAGACAACGGAAACTCTTCGTTGTTCGCCATAGTCGGTGGTCAGACGAGCGTGGAAGACAAGGTTTTATCTACAAGATTCCCACAGACGGCGCCAATTGTGCGGGGAGCAAATATTTCAGCAAGCCCGTACTCCTTTCTTCCTAGATCCGTTTCTGTCCGATCACCTGAAAGCACAATGAGGGTGAGCTACCCGGCGGTGTATGGCCGGAAAACCCCTCCGACGATCTAATTAGCACACACCTTAGGGAGAGGAGAGAGAGAGTGTTTGAGTGTAGGAGTTCCTTACCAAGTGTTCGTCCCCTACGTATGGGGGGCACAGACATGCTTATATACCTTTCTACGTCCCAAACCTGCTCCCAATGGTCCCTCAACATGTGGCTCTGCTATCCCATCTGTCAGCACAAATCCTGTTGAGCGTCACCTAATCTCAACTGCCCGTTCACTCTATTGGGAGCTCGGCAGCTGAGCTGCACCATCTTGTCCGCCAACGGTCGTGCTGTGCTTCATGTCCAAGTACTCCACTAGCTAAGCTTAATAAGGACCAGGCTAGGCAACATCTCGACAAAGCCGAGCAAACAGGTACCTCGGCTGACCACATCTTTCCGGGCGCCGGTCACTTAACTTGACTTGCTTCGCCTCCGTCAAACATGTAGCTCGATCCAACCAAGCGTTGCCTTAACCGAGCAACTTCTTTCCAAACTGGGCCACACATCCTCGGCCCAAATCTGTCCGGCACAACTCTGTCCGGCCCAAATCTGTCCGGCATAACTCTATATCATTAATCTCCCTCTCAGGGGGTATAGTCAGGAAGTGCAATAGTTAACGTCGACACCACCGTTGAACACAGGTATGTCCGGAATTTTGTATTACAAAGTCATCCCTCATCATTCCCACACAGTCACACCAGTGCACAAATCAATGTCGCTGTTATCACACTGACAGTGGAACGAGAATGAAGAAACATTGATACCTGTGTTTGACGCCAATAGTGCAACAGTCCATCTATATCAGAGGTGGTGTGGTTGTACTTGGCGTTGAGTGCTGTGGTGTGAAGAACGCTAGTTTGGTTGGTCGGTCAGAAGTGTTTCCTGTGAATCAGTCTTAGCGTAGTGGTAGTGGACTGGACGGAGTTTGGGACTGTGAATCCAGCAGATCAACGTGAATAATGTCACAGAAGATGGATGGAGTTGGGGACTATGAATCTGGCAGATCAACGTGAACAATGTCATAGAAGATGGACTGACCAAGCAAACAAAATAAAAATGGTAGATCAATGTGAACAATGTTAGGAGGGAAACCGGCGAACAAATAAGATCGATGTAAACAATGTTTGGAGGGAATTCGGCAGATCGACTTTGCCGACGCGGTACACCGACTTGACGATGTTCACGTTAGAAGCAGCAATGGCGGGTTGTCACAGAAGATAGACTAGCCAAGCAAACAAAATCAATGTAAACGATGTTAGAAGGGATTCTGGTATATCAACTTTGCCGACGCAGTACACCGAATAGTCGGTTTGTTGAATGCAAAGACGAAGTCTAGACTGATGGACCTGTCGAAGCAAGATTAGAGATCTTAGAGGATGATGGAATCTGGGTTTTTGGGTGCAAGCAGTGAAATCGACGGGGACAATATTAATTAATAGATATTTCAACCTAGCATTTATTTTTAATTACAAAAATAAGACGTTACATTAGTTCATGAATCATGACAAGAATTTTATCATTCTAAATTTGTATATAGGAAAGAATAGGAAAGAAAAAAATCCAAAAAAGTACAAAATGATGAAGTTTAGTACATGGTCTGTGATTCAATTGGCGAGTTTAATCTTGATTGTTGGTGTTTAGCTTGTAGCCTTGCAATTCCCAGGTTTAGGAATAAAAGATTGTATGAACTTGAATTATGGAAATGGGAACTCATGATTTTGGTTCTGATTTCGGGTTATGAAAAATCCAAAACGGAAATTTGAAACCATTTCAGTGTGCCTTATTTCGCGTGTTCACATCACGTACGAAACAACACTACGACGTAACCACGTTCTATTTCTGCGCGTGCTACAAACCTACTAAATTTAAAAAGGTATTAGTGCGCTTTTCCGATCAACGTGACACACAAACACCCATTCACCTTACATATACAAACCCACGCCAATCAACCAATAATACTAGCAGTGGCAAAATAATCAACAAACAAATTAAAGGACCATTCAATCACCAAAAAAATATTTAGAATCTTATGGATTATAAGTTCACAAAATGGGATTTACCGTCAATTCCCCAATTCCCCTTTAAGTAAACTTCAGAAGATGTGTTTATAATTTATCCTAATTTTTAACTATCCATTTGTATACTAAGGAAGAAAGAGCAATTTAGCTTATTGTTTGATTTAATTTGTTAATAGAATCAAACATTGAATTTTATTTTATTTTTTTGTAATTTTTTCATTTTCATTTTTTTTTTTTAAAGATTCAGAACAAAATTTATATCTAGCTTACTCTTAATGGGGACGGAGAGCCAATAAGGGCGGTTGAACCTGCAACATATGACAATTGATACAAATAAGGACGACCGAAGGTCAGTCTGTCTTCTTTTTTTTTTAATTTAAAAAAGTTCTTCATGTAATCACGTACCTATGTCATTGTGAAAAATAAAATAAAACAAACACTAAAAACAAACACTAAAAACAAGAGCAACAAAAAAAATGCCACCTAATGATAGTGAGGTTTTAATTGAATAACCAAACCACACTTATGATAAGTAGAGAAGGTTATTGTCTATCCAACCAGGACTTAAAATACAACATCATAAAACAATAATAACCTCAAACTCAAGTTTTACTTAGATATACTAGTGTTTTATCACAAGAGAGCCAATGTAGAAAGGGCTCCCATTTTACTCTACTCGCAAGTTCCTTGAACCTAAAGCACGATAAAAAAAGCACCAAACAGAACACACAGTGTTGTTGGGAATCACTTTTTCTTCGCAATAAACAGGCCCCACCTCTGCTCGCCCGATGAACTCCTGATCATCTTCGCTTTCCAACCGCCAACTATGTCATTATAATCCTCCTGAAGATTGATCACAAAAACAAGGATCAATAAAAAGAAACGAGTGCATAGAACAACAAAAAAATTAATATGATGAAGCGAACGTACTTCAGAGAAGTTTTGGATGAATGCTTCCTTATCCTTCTCGACTTCATTTAGTTCCCTCTGCAAAACTTTCACAAACTGGAACACAAACATCCCAGTTGTTTAGATTAAGAAGACCACTTAATTACAAACTTATGTGACACAAACAAGGAAAACATAGACTAATACAAACCTGATTTGTTCGATCCTCTGCAACAACCTCATCAAAACCAGCATCCTTAAGCATCTATAGATTAACCAAATTAAAGCATAGAGCTTGTGTCAGGAAATGCAAGAGGAAGAGAGAGGTAATTGAAGGTTTTTTTTTTTTTTAATGTATGAAAATACCTGGCCATATGCTTCAACACTGTGAAGATCATATCCTCTTTGCTGAATATATGCTGCAAATTCTGGTGATGGTGGTCCAGTGCTCTTGCAGTAATCACTAATAAGAACTTTTCCTCCTGGCTTCAACCATTTGTGAAAAGATTTGAACAATGCAGGTTTGTCCTGAAAATAGTTCAAGCTTAGTTAATGAAGAAACTATTTGCCAAAACAAAAAGAAGGAATTAGGGGATAAAGAAAGGAAAATAAAACTTTACATATACTTGGAATGGTTGAGAAAGCATTTATCAAGAACTTTCATTATTTCAATTCAATTTTTTAGGAAACCAGATGACAAGTACGAAGCCATTAAAGTTAACAAACAAATGGAATATGAATAATCCAATTTTAAAGCTCAAACAAAAAAGAGAGGCGGGTTACTTGAATGTGGAGAATGGTGTCACGGCTGTAGATCACATCGAACATATTGTCCGCATATGTTTTCTTGGTGCAATCAGCAACCTCAAATTCGACTGAATATTTGAGACCAATTGCTCGCTCCAGAGCAAAAGAAACCATGTTTATAGAGAGGTCAATGCCAAGAACATGAACATCAAAGGTCTCAGCCATGTAAAAGTCACCTCCACCAATGCCGCAGCCCACATCCAAGACTTTCTGACCAGGCTTAAGATCCAGCTTCGCAACAAATTCTTTTGTCGTCTCTGCCCAAAGACACAAATTTCAATTTGAGCAAATACAACCATACTTAAATTGGTATAAAGTGATTGTCTTATGAAAACCAAGAAAGAAAAAAAAAATTAAACAGAGAGAGTTCATACTACTAAGGAGAAAATTTACCACAAAATAAAAACAAAAAGATACATTTAATGGTGCAAATTGATATCAAGCTGAAGTTGCAAGACTGTTGCTTATTTATTCTTTTCAGATTATATGAATCATACGAGCAAATTAGAAAGCACTTGGACATCATAACGTACCAATCCCCCCTGTGCTAACAAAACCCGGTCCAAAGACGCGTTCATATCGCAGTATGCCATTACATTTATACTGAACATTATCCAAGAAACGCTGGAATCCCCTATCTTCCTCGGAACAGACTTTCTGCCATATCCAGCAAATCTGCATCATACAAACTCCATAATTACATCTTCAATCAAACATTTAAACCAAGACAAAAGAAAAGAACTACATTAAGATGAAGAGCCAATGCATTACCTGATTTTGGTTTTTTTTGTTCCTCACATAAGCTCCAATGCATTTACAGCCAATAAGAGAGAGTTCATAGGAATTCCCAGAACCATTGTTCATATGGCATTCCTTGAAGACCTGCAGTCGAAAATATGAATCAGGAAAGACATGCAGAAAAATGATGCAATCAAAAAGAAACAAGATGAATAGGGAATACACATTAGGGAATTTGAACCAAGATTTTCTTCAAAATGAGCCATGTTAGGTCAAGAATACGCTCTGAAAAATTACCCCAATTGAGTTTAATAGAGTCAACTAAAGTTTAACCTAGCAAAATAAGTTTGATTGTTTTATGACCATCTAAACACCACATGTAAAGTATGGGAAATAGTCACTATTTTACAGCAGTGTCATCACCCGTTTCTGACAGGCAGCTTTTTTAGTCACTTTAATATATATGCCCAACAGCAACAAATTTACTATGACAAACCTGAAAGTAGCATATATCAAAACAAAAGGTTTGTTATAAAGTAGAAACCTTTGTATAATATCTAGGCTCCCGGTAATGGGTCGGGTTGTTCTTTCGCTTACAATCTCCAGATTGATGGAAACATGATTCTCTGAAGAATATAAATCCACCAACCTTCAACCATTTTACCATTCTTTGAACAAGATTCTCAACCTACAAGGAATGAAAAGGATAAATTTATGTAGAAAAAGGAAAAAATCATCAACAGGTGAAGCAAAGGCAAGTAAAAAGTGAAGCAGAAGGAACGAAACATAAATTATATGCATTAAGACAACATGTTTTAACATTAATACATAATTATATGCTGGAATATAGAATTAGAAGTATTGCTATTATATTCCAACAGTATCACATCACTTTAACGATTTCAAACTGAAAGCCAAAGAATAGCACCATAGACTATAGCATATTACAAAATGATCAAGTAGAAATTGGAAGCTTTGATGTTGGATGCTGACCATGAATAAATAACTGCCGAACCAGCCACGAAAAAAAAAAAAAGAAAAAAAAAAAAAAGAGGAACAAGCATATTCGGTGAAGGGGTAATGTTAACTTTTTTCTGAGGTCAAAGATAAAAACAGTGGGGCCCCTCTTCTATTTTATCTACCTAGTCTACTGCCTCAGACACATCCTCTTATTTAAAGCAGAGCTAATACTAGTAATAAGAACTGTGCAGAGTGCGGCTGCAATTGGATGCATAAGTTGGTTAAGCACTTTCTATTAGATACTTGTATCATTTTTCTTTCAAAAAACATTCATGATTACATCTCAACAACTACGTACTCAACTTATTTCTTTATCAAATTGTAATGCTATCAAACCCTCAAACAAATGGGTTGACAAAAAGAAAAAAATTCACCTCTTTGTCGGAGAGATACATCAGTAGCCAGTTTGAGAATATCAAGTCCATTGATTCTGCTGAAATATTTAAATCTGGGGATGTCACATCAGCACACATAAACTTAACATTTTTAAAATGTCCATTGATGTTTTCATTCTGCATAGGTAGAAAACTAAAGATCACATAACACTCCATGCTAGAAGAAAGGAAGGGGCGTGAACAAGCAAAAACAGAAAATATATATATATATATATATATTAATAAATAGCTTCATTCTTTTGCAATTTTACGAGGATGGTACAACAATTCCTGTCAAGTTAGGATCCCATTACCTTCTTTATCACACTTTCAATAAAGTCCAGAGCTAGAACCTGACCAGCCTTCTTAGCTAATTCTCCAGTAAAACGACCAATGCCAGCTCCTAGTTCCAGAATTGATTTTCCTTCATATGGTGGAAGCAGAGCAAGTACCTGAGTATGACACCAGGTAGGTACTTGGATGAATTTCAAGTTTGACACCAGCCTACATAATAACCAACATATCTAAAAAAATAATTTTTCCTTTCTTTTTTATAGAGGTGCAGGGAAAGTAGGAAAGTTAACTTGATCTAGGAAAGCCACTCTCCTTCCATGAGGTAACCACAATGGATAACTACTGAAACTTCTACACATGCAAAAGTTATGTAACGGTAAATAATAGTAATTTCCCTTTCCCTTTCTCTTTCCAAACCTCTCCTCAAATCCTCAAACCAAACACAACCTAAGGAAATCAAGCAATCAAGAAATCATCTCATCAGCCTACAAACTACATCGGACAATACAGCTTAAATGAAAACAGAAGAAATACTATCACGATGCATAAATATTATTATGAACCATTAATCAGGAAAAAAAATAAAGATAAAAAGTACATCAAATCACCCACTAAGAAAAAGAACATAATGTCAACATAAAAGATTTGGGATGAGGCATCGGCATGGTAGTAATGTTGTCAATATTAACATATGCAAAGTCGTTCATAAGTGTATTTATCACAAATACTAAGAAACCTCTGCTATCTACAATGATTAGTTATTTTGTCATCAAATGAAGCTTACTTTCTATGATGAAAAAGGAGTGATATAAATGACAACCGAACAGGACCATGGGCATAGTTTGTTACTCCCATTCAGAATTTCTGATAGCACCAAATATTCATCAGGACAAGCAAAAGTAGCTTGGGAAAAACAGAGTAGAGAACAGAGTTTTAATACTAGATATATTAATGTCAATCATTCTCTGTATTAATACATGCTTGGAGATAGCACCAAATATTCATCAGGACAAACAAAAGTAGCTTGGGAAAAACAGAGTAGAGAACAGAGTTTTAATACTAGATATATTAATTTCAATCATTCTCTGTTTTAATACATGCTTGGAAATAAAACCAGTGATCCTAGAAAGATGCATATCTTATAAATGAAAGATTAAAAAAGTTGGTGCAACACTAAAAGCTGCCACTCTAAAAGGAGGATCTGACTGAAGCACCCAAGAAAGACAGCATTAAGGAATAGAAAGCTGAGACATCAATTTAAATGATAAGAATTTAAATATCCAAGGCAGTGTATTAAAGTATTACAATAAAATGATGAAATGCCAACAAGTAGTAAGCGATATCCAAGGCAAAGTACTTTAACGCTATATTTGGTTAGGAAATTTGAGAAGAGATTTAGAAAGGAAAATGAAAAAGATAAGTGAAATGTGAATAAAATATACTTATATTTTATATAATTTTACACATCTTTTTTATTTTCCTTTTTAAATCCCTTCCCAAATCTTTCAACCAAACAAAGCGCAAGAGATTACAAAGAAAACCTAGCAAAATTTAAGAGAAATTAGGAGATTAATTTTTGAAAGCAAAACCGGCTAACCAAAATCACAAATTACTTTCAATTTCATATTTAGTTCCAAATAGTACATCATACAGAATTTTCAATTTCAAATGTAAATTTTAATTTTGCATCCTTTTTTAAGATAGACTTGTGGATGGATGATCCTAATAGTTAAAATGGTAGTCAGTGGTTTTTTTTCTAATATAGCTTGGTTTCTTCCTCTTTCCGTAGGCATGCTGCATAACTTACACAATGAATTTAATTTTAGGAGCAAATTTAGGTCTTGCAGCTCAGCTTATTCTGCAATGTCTCGATTGGGTGGTATGAGATCTTATCAGGTATGAGATCTTATCAAACTTGCCTTATTTCATTTTATTACCCATCATTATTCGAAGGTATTATTTCTTTAGGATTTAGATCCCTTCATCGGAAACTGCTGTTAGATATTCTCGAACCGCTTTATTTCATTTAATTACTCATATTGTTTTTAAGGATCTAGATCAGTAATTCGTCCAATGAAAACTGTTGTTAGATATTCTCCCAATAAAAGTCAGAATAGGTACCATCATCAACATAAAGTAAACTCATTATTAGATTAATAAAAGATTTTACCCGAATATTTATTCACCACTTACAAACACAGAATATATCATATAAAGATTCAGCAGTATATAATACCATTGAAAATTACGAGAAAACATTTTAAAAAAATTAGCATCCATTGTGCATTTTGATAATAATCTGAAAATTATCATTATCAGAATCTAAAAATAAGAACGTATTTAAAAAACAAAATCAAATGAAAAATTGAGAGAGAGAGAGAGAGAGAGAGTGTACCTCAGGTCTCTCTTCTTTGTCGAGATCAGCGGCTTTGGAGTCGAGCATCATAGCCTCCACGGTGAGGTCGGCAGAGTGCTCGATCCAGTAGCTCTTTTGAATCTCACGTTCTTGTCCTACAATCACATATACATACATCACATTGCGCGCGCGCGCACACGCACAGAGAGCAAAAAGAAGAAGAAAAAAAAAACTCACCATGAGCAGCCATGGTTGACTCTTCTACAGAGATGGTGAAAACAGACCGATAGGTAGAGAAGAAATGAACGTGAAATTATAGAAAGAGAGAGAGAGAGAGAAAAATGGGGATGGATCTGAGAAGGGGAGAAATGAGGAAGGATTAATAACCGTCGACCGCAACACGAGATCTGGAGAAGCTCCTCGATCTACGATTGTTTGCTCTTCCCTTCTGCTGCATCAGTGCCTTATCGTGCACTCTGTCCCTCTCTCGATCAATTGTGTTAGTTTGGTTTGTGTTGGTGTCTAGTGGTTTGGTATTTATAGACAATTGGGGTGTTTGGCAAGAAAAAAAATAGTTTAGTTTAGGTTAAAATTTATAAAAAAATAAAATAAATTAAAATAGTTAATAAGATAAAATATCACATTAAGTTTATAATTATTTTTTTTTTTCACAAACATCACATCTAACTATAAAAAAATTTAATCATCTTCTCAAATATAAAAATTTTAACCTATTAAAATAGTTAAAAATTAAAATAACTTACTAAAATAACAACTTTCCAAACGAAGCCAATGAGAAAACGCACTTCAAGAGAGGATAAATGGAAGAGAAATTTCACCTCAAGAACAATAATCTCATATACACTCATTATTAGTGTATTAATTAATGATATTATATAATTTAATAAATTTTTAATATTTATAATTTATATAATAAGTGAGGTTAATAATAATATTATAATTAGTGTTAATATATTAATTAGTGCATGTAATACTATCGCTTCAAAAATGATAAATACCTTAAAAATTTTATTAAATGACATTTGATAAAATTTTTAAGATCTAACATTACACAATTCACTTTTAGAAATTGCATTTTATTACATTTTTATATTATGTTTGATCTTTTATTACTTTGCCCTCTCAATTATTACCCTTTAAATTAAAAATTGATACAATCTATTATCTTTATTTTGTTTGAATTTTTTTAATTTAATCTTTATATTTCAATTCTGTTAAAAAAAAATACATGGAAAGGGTGCATGCAATGTGCGCATATTTGTCATAAATATGACATCCACGCATAGGATCAGCCCTGAGTTTCGGGGCCTAACGTGAAATAAAAATAGATATCTATATTCATAAAGAAAAAAATTACCTTATTTCGTATCACTATCGTTAATTGATATCAAAATAAATATCAAAATGTATTTATATAAAAAAAATTGTCAAAATTAAGAAAACTTTATTCAATTAAAATGTATTCTATATGTATTGAATTAATTATTATTTATTGAATATATTGTTTATGAGTGTGGTTGCATTATTGTTTATTGAATATGTTGCGTATGAATGTGATTGGAATTGAATTAATTGTTTATTCTATTAAAATGTGACAAACAAGAAAAATAAAAAAAATTAGGACAAATATATTTATTCCACTAAAATTTGATAGAGAAAGAAAATAAAAATAAAAAATTAGGGGCCCTATTTTGGGCCACTAACATTTTGTATGTGTATGTTGTGTTTCCCATTCAAGGGCTACCAATATTTTGTAGGCTTCGTTTGGAAAGCCATGGTTTGGGTTTTTTTGGCTATTTTAGCCACAAAAAACAAAATAGGCTATTTTAGCCATAACAAACAAACTATTAAAATGTGACAAACAAGAAAAATAAAAAAAATTAGGACAAATATATTTATTCCACTAAAATTTGATAGAGAAAGAAAATAAAAATAAAAAATTAGGGGCCCTATTTTGGGCCACTAACATTTTGTATGTGTATGTTGTGTTTCCCATTCAAGGGCTACCAATATTTTCAATTGGGCTAAATCATACTTATAAACAAATATGGGTTCAGCATAATATTTTTGGATCTTTTATATTGGTCCTAAAATAACAAAAATAATTTGGGTCTATTTATATTTGTAATATACTATAATACTTTTATAAATTTGGAGGTCCTATTTTGGGCCAATTTTTGGGGGCCTAAAGCACAGGCTACAATTGCCTTAGTCAGGAGCCGGTTCTGTACACGCATTATATGCACATTTTTTGTATATTTTCTTAATAAAATGAAGATATAAGGATTAGATTGAAAACTTTCAAAAGATAAAAGGAATATATTGTATTAATTTTTAATTTGAAGGAATAAAATGAAAAATAGTAATAGTTGAAGCAGATAAAGTGTAATTTTCCCTTAGATAAATTATATCGATTTTCTTTAAGGTTTAAGAATGATATAATCACTCTATTTGGTTATTCGGTTTTTAAAATCATATTTTGAGTTTTAATTTGTATTATTTTATTTTTACTGAACTTTTTTTTTGATATTTTGGTCAATTTTTTTAGTTATATTTTGTCTAGAAATATTTGTGAAGAAATTTTTGAATTTTTTAATAAGTACCAACAAAAAAATCAATACATTTATATATATTTTTGTTTATTTATTGAATTTTTAAAAATTTATTCACAAATATTTTACTTTATTAGTACATTTACATTAGATGCATCTAAAAAAAAATCTAAAAATAAAAAAATACAAATTACATACTTAAAAATTGCAGACTTTAAAATCTGAATAACCAAACAAAGTGAATAGTTGTTATAAATTTAACATAATTATACCGGTTTCTCTTTAAGTTTTAATTCATGCCTCGTTTTAATCAAAAATTTGTCAATTGTATGAATAAAAAAATGATATTATCATCTCTTTTATATTAAAATTTATATTATATCCTATGTATCTTTGTTTCTCATATTTTTCTGTATTAGTTTTGGTCTCTTTTACTTTATTAAGGCCTTGTTTGGCATGGTTTACGATATTCAAAAAAGTTAATTTTTTTTTACTGTGCCTATTTTGGCATATCGGTTAAGAGTTAATTTTTTGACTTTTTAACTTTCTTGGGTCACATTATCTCTCTACCTTTTTACACGTTTTTTCAAAAAAAAATTTAAAAATTAATTTTTAACTTACTTTCCAATTACAAGCTTGCATGGGAAGCTTTTATATGCAAAAATACCAAATTGTCCCTTGTTTGGACCTTTGACATGACACCTCTAAAAGCTGGTGTAACACCTTGAAAGGGCAAATGTGTAATTTAACATTTTCACATTATTTAATATCAAGTTTGTTCGTAAAAAAATAATAAGTTATTTCCAAACATATTCAGCTTATTTGTTTCTAGTTTTCAAAAGGTTATATATACTTTTTTATTTTTCGTATTTTAATGGTTTCAATTAATTTTTTTAATATTTTAAGCAATTTATTTTTAAATTTTTAGACACACCTAACATAAATACACTTAAAAAGTATAATATTTGTAAAAAAATATTTAAAAAATACACTAAATACCAAAAAATTAAAAAAATATGAAAATTCAGTACATTTATCATATTTTTGTGTATTATTAATTTTTTAAAATATTTTTTCACAAATATTTTATTATTTAGATAAATCTAAGTAAGGTGCATAAAAAAAAAGGGGATTTGGTGATAACCCCCTCACTATCTAATTTGTCTTTCAAAAGGACAAGAATTATATAAGTACTTTCAAAACCCCCTAATATTTTAAAACTTGTTTCTTTTACCATATTACCCTCATAAAATTTTACTTTGTATGAAAGTAAAATTTTACTATGTATGAAAGTAAAATTTTACACTCTGAAATTAAAAGTAAAATTTTACTCTGTATAAAAGTAAAATTTTACTCTGAAAAATGAGTAAACTGTGAGACTTTGAAGCTAAAAGTAAAATTTTACTCTGTATAAAAGTAAAATTTTACTCTGAAAAACTAGTAAAATGTTAGACTCTACACAAAAGTAAAATTTTACTCTGTATAAAAGTAAAATTTTACTCTGAAAAACGACCAAGCTGTGAGACTCTGAAGCTAAAAGTAAAATTTTACTCTGTATAAAAGTAAAATTTTACTCTGAAAAACGACCAAGCTGTGAGACTCTGAAGCTAAAAGTAAAATTTTACTCTGTATAAAAGTAAAATTTTACTCTGAAAAACGACCAAGCTGTGAGACTCTGAAGCTAAAACACTCATACACACAAATATATATATATATATATATACATATATTCTCAAAATCTTGAATGAGGAATGTAACCATGATGGTGATAAAACCTAGACAATATTTAATAGAATTAAAATTCTTCTTCTTCGAATTCTCTCTCTATGATAGCAACGACGGCTATGATGATTCCATGGAGATGAGATGTGGCGGTTCTTCTTGCAGGATCTAGTGGTTACTGGAATTACAGGCACCAGGTGATCACGCTTTTCAACTAATCTGAGCTTAATTATCTGGAAAAAAAAAATTATTTGATTAGAGTGACTATCTTAATTTTTGTGTATTTATTACTGATTCTATACAAACCTAAATAATTGAACAGAAATGTATATATATATATACAAATGGAATTGAACATATCAACCACATTAATTAAGGTTTTGGTACAAGAACAGAGCCTACTGACCAATATCAATTCTAATCAACACAATCAATCATTTATGAGTGTGTATATACACATACACACATATGCACACAAAATCATAATTCTTGAACGTAAAAATGAGTAATATGATCAAATGTTAACTGAAATTCAAGATCAATTAACAAGAACAGAGATCGCGAAGTTATCAAAATTGTCGAGAAACAGAGCTTCAGATCTGGAAGGGAATCATCATAGCCGTCGTTGCTATCATCGCCGGAGAAGAATCTGGAAGTTTTCGAGAGAATCAATTAACAAGAACAGAGATCGTGAATTCGTCGGAAATACTCGTCGGAGATTTTGACTGCGAAAGGAAATCTAGCTGAAATCCAGGAAAGAAGCTAAAGCAAAGTTGCAATCTAGGAATATCTCGAGGAGGCGAAACAATTTAGCTGTGGTTCGGAGGCGATTGTACCTTAACATAGCTTTTGCCTTCTCCGCCTTTACATTATCGAAGTGGAAAGCGTCCATTTGCGAACAGAGAGAGAAATCTAAAGCGAAGTCGCAGTTCGATTTTCTTGGAATGTTGAGGGAAAATTTTCGAGACAGAAAAAAAATAAAGAGACAAATTGGGGAGAGAGAGCAGTTAAAGTGGAGTTGGGAGTGTTGGCAGAGAAGTGAACACAGAGAGTCGACTGTTTATAAAGTGGAGGGACAATGGGGTATAATAGTCATATAAAATATTTAAATAATAAATTTTGTCTTTTATGCAAGACTTTATAATTATGAGGGGGTTTAGAAAGTATAATTTTTTTCTTAGTCCTTTTAACAATGAAAGGAAGGTAAATGGGATTTATACCTAAATTT